TGCAGATGTTGGTTGGTTGCAGATGTAGGTTGGTTGCAGATGTTGGTTGGATGCAGATGTTGGTTGGTTGCAGATGTTGGTTGGATGCAGATGTAGGTTGGTTGCAGATGTTGGTTGGATGCAGATGTTGGTTGGATGCAGATGTTGGTTGGATGCATATGTTGGTTGATGTAGTTGGTGGTTGCATGCAGATGTTGGTTGGATGCAGATGTTGGTTGGTTGCAGATGGTGGTTGGATGCAGATGTTGGTTGCATGCAGATGTTGGTTGGATGCAGATGTTGGTTGGATGCAGGTGTTGGTTGGATGCAGATGTAGTGAACACTGCTGGTTGTGGTTGCTGGTGTCAGGGGCTCTGATGGGCTGCTGGCAGGCGGAGGAGCCGGCGCTCTCTCCCCGTGGCTCCACCCTGGGTCTGAAGCCGGTTTGAAGTTTAATGATGCCAGCTGCCAGCTCCGCCAGGCGTTCAGCACTAATGAGCTGGCACTGGAGTTGGACCGGGCCACAGCAGCAGCACCTGGAAATGTAGCACACGTTTCAGGGGGCGGGGCTCCACTGGGGCTGCTGGGAGGTGGGGGTTCTGCTGGAGACTCAGGACAGCACTGAGCGGCCTGCGTCTCTTTGAAGAGCGCCCCAATTTCCATATTTCATTCCGCTCTGCTGACTGACAAGGCCCTGGCAGATGTTCTATTTCCAGCTATTTAAATTCTGACCTGCTTTCTGCCGCGGAGGCGCGAGGACAAAACAACAGATCTCGTCAGGATGCTGAGAAGTTGGACCGGTTCTGTCTGCTGCTTCCTGTCACCGCTCTGTACCGCCCCGACAGAACAATCCCATTAATCACTTGAACTTGTCTGTTACTCCGGACACGTTGACAGACTGTCCCCAGAGCTTCACCGTCGTCCTCAAGGACAAGACTCGTCTGTTTCAGGAATCAAACCTGCGGACCTTGTATTTATGAGACGCTCTCTAACCGACCGCGCGCTCCGTCCAGTGCTGAATTGGCCCCAAAGTGAGTGATGCATGTTCCGGAGCACCACGAAGCACGTGCAGGCCTCCTTCTCTGTCCCTGAGGTTCTGGAGATGATGAATTTCTCTGGTGTTCCTGCTGAAATGGATCTTAAATCGCAGCTTCTGCTCGATCCTTCATGCAAACATCGACAACCCTGACCTTTTTGTGCATCCGCTGCTGATCCACTTTGTCATCCTCAGTGAGCCGGCTCAAGGATCAATATAGTTTGGTTGGAATCAAACTTCGACATCAAACTCCCCATCTGTGTGTGCATGTGCGTGTGTGCACGTGTGTAAAAAATTACCGCACTAAAACTGAAACGTGACCTCTCAGTGACGCCACATTTTTTTCTGGGATGCGTTTAATCTAAATAAAAACAAAATGCAACGATTTACAAACATCACACATAACTGCATTTCCTGTGGAAATGTTGTGTGAATGATTATTGCTGAACAACTTGCTGAAAAACAATTAGTCTAAAACAAGACGAAATGGAAGAACAAGCCCAAGTTAGCAGAAGAAAGCAGAAAGAACACGATTTTGCTGAATTTGGTTTAAATAAGCAGAAAAGAGCACAAAAATCAGTAAATTAGCAACAAAAAAAACTTAAATTATCAAAAAAAATATTGCTGAAAAGTTGCTGAAAATACAGAAAGAAGCTTAAATTATCGAAAAGTAGTGCTGTAGTACTCGAGACTGGTCTCAAGAGCATGAGTAGTGAATAAGAGTAGCAGAATGAAGCAGAAAGGAGCACAAAACAGCTGAAAGTAACAGAAAATAGTTGATTTTATTTTAAAATTCGCACAAGGAAGCTGAAAGAAGCTGAAGCGGAACAAAATGTGAAAGGAGCGATAAAAGGTTGTGAACAGATCTAAAGATTTGAAGGATGGAAAATGAGCTCAACTCATTTCCTATGAGGAAAAACGTGGCAGAAATGGCTAAAAATTTCAAAAAGCTAAAGTTGCACCAATACCAAAAGTCAGAGCACCCTTCTCCTGAATGAGCTGAACGTTTCGATTTAGGATTTGTTGGAATAGATCACAACCGAGTGACTGCGTCACGAACATTCACACGATACACATATCAAATGGTGAAACGTAGAAATTGCAGATACTTTAGAACTTTATTCAGCAATGTGTGGTTCAAATGAAAGAATAAATAAAAAGCAGCAACACTGTGAGGTAAATGTCAGCTGTCTTTCTGCACAGTCCTGGACTTTTCTCATCACGGAGGTAAAATTAAAATGTGGTGGAAAAAGGAGCAGGGAGGAGACGAACACCTCGTTCTGACACACGCCCTGCTCTCTGTATATTTATAAAATCATAAATAATCGTTCTTTGTGCTCGTGCCGTGAAACTAAAGGAACAGATTCTTCAGGCGGGACTTTGCCGGTGTTCGGCTGAACTCAGACAGTTTGCAGCAGTCACCCTGCTCCCACCACAAAAGGGTTATTTCAACAAAGAGGTCAAGGGTCATGTGAGGTGGGCTAAAGCTGCGGGTCGGTTGGCTCTTCGTTTCTGTTTTGCTGGATTCATCAGAGGTTTCACCGTTTGAACTTCTGACCCCTGAGCTGTCCGTCAGAAGCTGATCTGTGGTGCTGAGGAGAGAACCTCACACGGGTCTGAACACGCCGCTGCGACGTTAACAGAACCATCAGTTTGTGTGAAGCGAATTCATTTTCACTGCATGAGTGAAGATTTATGAAGTGAAGCCTCATCCTTCTCTTTTGCGGCATTTTAACTTTATTACAAATCTACGTCAGATTATTATTATTATTATAATAACTCCTAAAACTCGTCACTTTTTTTTCATTTACTCTTTATTTATGCAGGTAGTCTCATTGAGCCACGAGAACTCATTTTCAAGAGAGACCTGTTAAGAGCCTTGCTCATGGGCCCAGAGTTGGCCTACCACACCCACATTTTTGACGTCGGCGGGCGTGAACCGGTGATTTTCCGATCACAGGCCCACCTTCTCTAACCTCTGCGCCACCGCTCCCCCCATCACTGAGCAACATCCAGTTCTTTGGCTCCTCAGCAGGTAAGACACTTCTGATGTCTCTGGTTCAGGCGTGGCTGGACTTGAGGAACGAGACGTTTGGAGCTCATGTCCTGGAGTCAATCAGCTGATCAGGGTGAGACACCAGTTTATATTGAACCTCTTCACAATAATCTAATGTTCTGAGACATTGAATTTATGTTTTTTTTAATTATTTGTAAGCCATAATCATCAAAATTACAAGAACAAAGGCTTGACATATTTCACTCTGTGTAACGAACCTATTTCACTTTCAAAAATAACTGACGACAAAAAAAACTTTTTTATGCTATTCTGACATTTTAGATGCACCTGCAGAAGTTTAAATGGCTGTAAGTAATCTGGGCTGTTCAAAAGTGGAAGAAAACTAAATACTAATGTTGTTGACAATGAACTTTTTCTGCAACTTGTTTAATGTTTGTATGACCGAGGTGGGATTTGAACCCACGGTGTCTTGTTTTGTAGGTGAGAACTGCTCCTGTTTGTGCTGAAACAATGCAAGAACTGCACGAGTTGAATACTGAACATCACAGAAGAACTTCAAGAAAAACTGCATCTCATTTAGCATTTCACACAATTCTGGAAGTGATGGGTCAAAGAAAGGACTTGAACACATTTTACTTCAACTTTCTGGAGTATTTTGAGCAGCCATGCCCGTATTCTAAGAAATTCAAGGTTGTGATGCAACAATTATCGACAGGTGATGCTTTTGTATCCAAGATGCTCCAGAATTTAACTCAGGACTTTAAATATTTTCATTTTAGTCCAGGACTGTGATAAATGTTTGTGGTTCCAGACGAACGTCAGCAGTTTGGTGTGATGTGTTCACATCAACACTTTTTCAAATCACACCAAACCCTCATTCATCGTCAGAAAAACTGAATTACAAATCATAAACATTTAAACATTAAAGTTTAAAATGGTAGAAAACTTAATGAAATTAAAGGTTTTTGTGGGGTTGTACAAAAAAAAGCTAGGTTTGTGACATTTTAATCAAATTCTTTTCATTTCACTTCCATCGAGCAGTATATCAATAATAAAAGCACCTTTGTTCATTTTTCCTAAAACTACCTGAACTGATGCTAAGATTTGTCAGACAGGTGCCGAGTGAGGATGAACCAATTTAAATGTTTCACAATTTAATATTTCATTCCAGAAGTTCATTTAGTTTATCCAAGCTGAGGAGAATAAAAATTAAACTACAAGCGGAGCGTTCAGGCTATGGAGGGGGTGGGTTGGGATCCACACGTGGGCTTCTATTCAAATATGAAGTTCTTGACATTTCCTGCACGGCGCTGGCAGCTCGTCCCCGACGCTTCCCCTCCGAGCTGCCGATGGAACAGCACAACCCTGTGACATTTACAAAGTCCTCTGGCAGAGAGAGATAATGTTCTAGAAGAGGAAACACCTGCAAAACGTCCCACGGTTAAGTCCCGACGTCTCAGTCCGCGTGGATCTTACGGTGACACAAGAGGCAAGTTTGTGCTCTGAAGAGCAGAAACGCATCAGACTGTTCATCCACGTGCAACAGCAGCTCATAAAACCTCACTCAAAACAACATTCAAGCACTTTCTAAAAATCCCACACATTCTGGGTTCTGTCTGGTCAGCTGCCGGGTCAAGTTCAAATTCTCCTGCAGGACGGAAGTGAAACTTAATTCTCCAGAAGGTTAAAGCAGGGCAAAGGTCAATTATTGTGAACGTGAAGCAGAAATAGGAAGAGCAAAGCGCAAAACAAATGTAAACAAAGAAAGGTCAGAGCAGTGATGTAACGAGTATGAACAATTAGTTCACGAGGAGCGATGCAGCAACGTAAAATATTAAAAATGTATAAAATGACAAAAGTAAAAACACGAAATTAGATGATTTTCTCTGTATGGAGGAGGAGTCCCTTTATTAGTTGAAAACTGTTTAAACGAAAAGCCTGGGTGTAATGTCGAAGCTTTAAAATGAGACGTGCGGATTCAGCTTCTGCATCTCCCAGATCTCTGGATGAACTTTCCCAACAGGACCATTTGTGCGGTTTGTCGTTCAGCAGATGTGATCTTTAGAAGTCAGGGCGGTCCTTCTTCAGTTTGCTGTAGTCCGTGTTTATGTCAAAGAACTGAAAAAAATTGAATACAATTTACCATTCATTTTAAATAAAGCACAAGCAGATATTTTACATAATTTAGGAATTTTGGCGTTTTTTTTTTTTTTTTATAAAATGGCACAAAATATTTTCTTCAACAATAAACACAACTCCTCTAGTTATGTCTATTACTTAAAGCTTTTAAATATATATTTTTCCTTCTTGAAGACGAACTTTTGTCCAAGTTCAGGGAGCTAACAAATTTATCGGATTTGTTACAGCTGGTCAGCCTTAACTAGATTACGCACTTTAATTAATCCTGCTAAAAGACTTATTCGCAGGCTTGTAGCACCTCTGGCAACGATCCATAAACCATCTATGCTTTCCAACTCCACACCACAAGATTTTGATTCCGCCACCGAGATTCACCTTGTACTGATGAGTCGGATCCAGTTTGTTCCAGGGCTCAGGGTTGTTTTTGTGATCCCAACTGCAGGGAGGAACAAGATCATTGTTCGAGAAAGACTACAAGTGGATACAGATGGTTACAGATTTGATGTCTGGAGAGCTCACCAAACTTCAGGGCTTTTCAAGCCCAGACGAGCCAGGTACATCATGGACATGGTGGCACCTCCTCCAATGAACATGAAAAGGGGGATGAGCTGAAAGTCAATAAGACAGAAATGATCATCAACCTCAAAGATCTGTGACAAAAGTGACAACATGAGTATACTACCAATATAGACCTGCACAACACAGACTGGAGCCAATGACATTAAACATTACACACAACCTTAAAAGTGCTTGTCCTTGAGAATTTCATCCGTCTTCACGCAGAAGGGCCTATTTTTAAACCAGCCACTCATGTATCAGCAGTCTCCACAAGACAAAAATACATCAAAACTTACCTTGTATAAAAATAATGTGTCACTTTGATCATACTAAATTACGCCTCTTAAACAAAAAGGTCACAATAATAAACAAGCTAAAGATGTGGCTAACGTTGACGCTCAGAATGAGCTGTGTCATTTATATCATGTTATAATCATTAATGCCATTTTCAAAATATTATCCGTGTCTTTAAGCTGAACATTTAACTATTTTAACGGTTAAAAGTCAGTGCGCTCACGCGAGCAGTTTACTAAAGCTAACGATGCTAACTAGTCGAGCTAAGCTAAGTTAGCCAAAGGATTCTCAGACGATCGGTTTTATAAAAAATCACCGAAATTAAAAATGTAATGTACTTACGGCTGGATGGGTGCTTAGCTGTTTACGGAGCAAAGCGAGCATTTTGACACCCGGAGAGGTCGATTTATTTTAAGTGAAAAGCAACAAGATGACACTCAAACAGTGCTCTTATTGATCTGAGGCTGGGTGAACACTGGAAGGGCGAAGAAGAAACGTAAGTAGGACGCTACGTATAATGCCTGAAAAATATTGAAAAATATATTTTTAAATATTAAGATTATGAAAAGAAATACTTATGTAATATATATATATATATATGTATATGTAAAGTATTTGTGTTATTAGTATAATTTAAAGATTCTTCAGTTTTTATTTTAGTGACGCATTTTAATCTGGCAAAATTACTCGTCAACTCACCCTGTTGTGTTAAATCAAGAATCCACACTTTTGTAATTTATTTTATTCTTGTTTCCTGTGATGTAAAGTTATTATATAGTTGCAATGACATTTAGGTATTTAAAGTTTAAAGCCTACATAATTTGACATTTAAACAAATTATATTAAATCAGCTGTTTTTGTGTGACAAAAAGTGTAGTTTTTGAAAGAAGGGCTCTGCTGCCTTCAGACAAGATGATTTACATATTTTAAAGGTGTTAGATTAACAATTTCTTTAGCTATGACATTTATTTTTAAATGCATTTATATATTTTTTTAAAGTGTATAAAGGTTGAATGAATTAACTCGTCATATTTTATATTTGGCCCTCCAGCTGCAGGGAGAACAAACAAAGCTTTGAAACACCTGTTTGATAAAACCAAGTCTAGGAGTAGAGCTATAGAATAAAGTAGTTTTTGTAAAATCTTTTTGTGACTTGTCATCGGTGTACAGAGAAGTTATGATTTATTTAGAACTTAGTATTGATCCACAGATATATATATATATTTTAAATAGGTGTCCCTGTTTTTGTTGAACAGACCAACGTATTTATTTCTAATGTCCCAAATGTGTTTTTGACAGGCTCTACAGTATTCCTCAAGTCATCACATTTTGTGTTTACAAAAACTTAGAAGGAATATGTAAAATAAAAATGCACTCACTCTTTACAATGTTCGATAAAGTGTGTTTTAACTCGCAACACAAACTGTTTAATCAGTTTTGTTTGGTTGAGATCTAGAAACATTTCTCTGGGTCTACGAAAACCAGCAACTCTAAACCTAACAAGCAAAATGTCTGACAGCAAACGAACGAGCTGCCGAGTCTGTGGTCAGTGTAATATTTGATCTATTAGCATTAATAAGCATGTTATTAAAAAGGTTCAATATTCACAGATTCAAATTATAATCCTGCCAATCAGGAATGAGAATTACAACCGACTTAAAAAGTCAACAAGCAAGTGTAAAAAATAAAATCACCACAGAATGTAAGAAGTTCCCTTTTATGGCAAGTTATTTTTATAACTTTTAGAAGAAAAAAAAGTAGAAACAATTCAATAATATTGAACATAACAGCCTACATACAACTGTTTACAGTTTTTAAAACGATATACTTTGCTGTTTTACAGATAGTAAACAACATGTGATCATTACACATATTTAAGCATCAATTTGTAAAACATTTGGTATCATTTTTTGCTTGAAACATTTTTTAGGTCTAGTTTGGTTCAACATTTACCTCAGTCATGTGAGCTGGTTTCAGTCGAGCCCCGCCCCCCAATCATTCCTCCACATACATTAAAACGTTTGTTTTTCATGTTGAAGGCTCACCACAATTCATTCTGGGTTTCAATCAACGTAAAACATCTGTTCAGTTCAAGCACAGGAAGTTGGAAACGATAACTCTTTTATACAGTTAAACATCTGGCCCTACTTTAACAAAACATAGGCACATACAGTTTTCTGTACATCTTCTAAAATAAAATAAAAAAAACATATTATAGAGTATTATAATTTGTCTTGCAATCGTCCGTTGATGCTCTTGTGCTCTCTGGGGGTGTTTTAGTGCATTGTCTTCTTGGGAGCTTTGCCAAATTTAGCATCCAAACCAAGACCTGAAGAAAGAAAAGAAAAGGAGTGCAGCTGAACAACAAGTTACAAACAGCAACATATAAACACCTTAAAACATCAGCATCTTGTCCTAATTATCAGTTCATATGAGAAGTTTTACCCCACCAAAACCACAAGGGCTTTTTGCTCCTGTGTTAACGCTCTAATCTACGCTGTTACGTTACATTGAAGAATATGCAGAATTTCACAGAACTTGTGGTGGAAAAGAAAGAAAATGCTGATTTAAAAAAAAAAAATAGAAAGAATAATTAAGAGTAAAAATAAAACCGAGTCTCACCAAGGAACACGAGGACGGTGCCGATCCACTGCGTCCCACTCATGACGTTACCAAACAGGATGACCGAGCCGAGGATGGTGAAGAACTTCCTCGTAGTTGTGACGATGGAGCAGGTCAGAGGTCCGAAGTACACCACCGTCATAAAGATGAAGGTCTGGGAAAGAAAAACAAGAAAACGTCATTCGGGAGATGAATTTTCCGAATGCACAACACTGCATTTCGTTTGTAAAGAGCTAATGACCCGATCCGTCCCTTTTCCTCTCATCCACCCACCTGACCCAAAGCACTGGTCAGACCAAACAGAAGAATATTGTAGATGATGCTGGGGTGGCGCTCGGTGAAAGTCAGGAACTTCCACACTTCTCCGGTCCACAGCACCGCTGAGCGTGGAAAGAGACAAAAAAATTAAATGACGTCATAAAAACGAGAAAATTAACTCGTAATGGTCATATTGTCACGTATTGATTTTAAAAAATGTGATGAAGAAAATCAGATCCAGACTGGTAAACTAAGTGTGCAGCGCCCTCAAGAGGTTCAATTAGAAAACAACAACCTGCTCTGGGTCTTCTCAAAAGAACTCTTTACAATATTAGAAAAAAAACACGTCAGTGCACGTTTTGTTGGTTTCAACTTGAGCCTGCGAACACTAGAAGAACTACAGCTGCTCCAAAGATGGACTGAAAAAAAATTCTTCAAGTGTTGCTTTGTGCATCCTACATAAAACTGGGCAACTTGTTAAAAATAACTATTTGCAAAACTTTCAGTTTGTAACTTACACCCACACACTGCAGAAAATTGGTCGTCGTGCTCCAGTTAAATGTTTTTACAGGAATCTCCTGAACTGATGTGAAAGGAAGACGAACATCAAGGCAGACCTTTCTGGTCAATTAGACCAGCTACTAGTTCAATCAATAATTTCCAAAAGAAATTTAAAAAATAAAAGATATTTATCCACACCTTAATTGTACAAAAAAAAAGAGAAAGACATATAAAGATGTAAACCAAGTCAAAAATAGCACACGAAGCTGGTTAGCCAGTTTTAAAGCAACATCTTCACATTCCTCACGTTGGCTTTGACCTTTAGATGTTTAACCTCAGCCCATTAAAAAAACAACATCGTTAAACGTGCTGGTTTTATGTGCTGCTCTTCAACAAACTGCAGTCGTCTCCTCGCAGAACTTTGATGTGCACGACTTCTCATCTAGGAAAGATAAAACTAACACTTTGCCTGCACAGTTAATGAGTTATGGCTGCACAGAAAATTGGGCTCATTTGCTGCATTTAATGCCGCCGCTTTTGATTTTTGTTTTTATTTATATAAATGCTCATTAGCGGGAGCATCAAAGCAGATAGTGACGGACCGTTTGAAGGCTGAAGCTCCGTGCTTGTATATACAAATTTATTTTTTTAAAAGTGTTTCAGAAGCTTTGTGTTGGAGTTTGATTCCTTTGGACAGAGTCATGTGATCACTGACGTCTGAAGCTGCGTCAGTGCTCCAGTAGCTGGTTCAAAGTTTTAAAAGGAAGTGAATCTTTGGCTGAGTTTGTGCTGCGTGTCAGTGGGGAATTCATACGAAACAAAAACCAGTGAGCGACACGGAGCCAGTCAGCCTTATGCGTTTCATGAGTTAAGTTGACCAGTTTGAAAAATAAAACAATTCAGAAAAACACAATATGGCTGTAAGTTACAATACAATCTCACATTAAACATAAATTGGTGAATTGAGGCCAATAACGCACAAGCGTAATTCCAAACTGGTAATGTGTTGCAAATTATTTTTTACTATTGAATTATTTATTTAGGATTTTATTTAATAGTCACAAGCAAAGGTCATCGTGGAAACAAGTCACGTTAAACAAGTGTATTCCCCAAAATACTTTTCATTAAGACCACGATGTTGTTTCAAGCTGCTCTTTATTCTTTTGACCACAAGGTGGCGCCAAAGAACTGTGTTGAAAACCCAAACTGTTGGATTGTAAATCTGGATTATTGAGCATGGACTTTTTGTTATAGTGTTGAAAAGTTTAAATAATGAACCTTTTGAGCTTTTTAAACTTCAGCGCTTTAAAAAAAAAAGGTTAATCTAGCCGTCACAACAGATACTCGTCTCACAGTTTGTGCATCAATTTACTGTCATTGCAAAGTTTTACAACTCAAATGATAATTTTTTTTATTTTTTAAGGACGATATAACACTGCTCCAAAAGGAATGTTTTAAATTTGCTGCTGATGCTAAAATATTTTACATTAAACTGAATGGACAAACAGGAAGTAGATAAAAGGAAAAGGATGATTTTGTGTGGATCTAAAAAACAAATTGGAAAAATTTGCATTTTCTGAAAAAATGTCGTGAATTCAGAGTCCTAAATAACTAAAGATGGAAAAACCCTTAGCTAAAAGATAAAACGAGCAACAGCGTAACTAAAAGCTAAAACCAATAGGATTTTAGATAATAGCTCAAATTAGCTAAATTGTAATTAAAAGCTGAATACAACATAAAAAGACAAAAATAGAGGCAGCATGCTGAAGCAGCTTACCAAAAAAAAAAAAAAAGATCTTTGAATGTACTGAAGAGATAAATGTACTTTGATAAGGAACATTTTTGCAAATAAAGTTGGAATATTTTGAAAATGATCAAATTTACTAAAGCCTAAAGTCATAATGCTCCTGATCGATCTGAATGCTTTGGTTAACAAGTTGAAATAGCACAAAACAAAGAAGTTGTTTGTACGATATAAACTTTAAATGGGAAATAAATAATGTGGATGCCGACTCAGCTTTCACATATTTATGCATTTGTTTTTAGAACTGTTACAGTTTGACAAGAAACTATAGATTAAAACTATAACTGAACCCTGCATTCTGTTTAAACTAATAAACAATCAGTTGTTCTGCTGCGTGTTGGTCAGACTGAACCAATTCATCATTAGTGGAAAATTCAAAACGGGTGAAAATGCATCTGGCGCTCAGTGGCGACTCGTCCACTCGATGTTTGTCAAAAAGAAACGACTCACCCAGTCCCAGTATCAGAATGGACCACATGTTGATGTTCAGCATCATGTGGTTGGCGCTCGTCTGGTAGCGGGCTCTCATGTGGTCCTGGGCCACACCAGTCAGGCCGTCCAACGTCAGAGAGACCAACTGTGACGGAGTTAAACAAACGAAGCGTGAGTAACAGAAGTCACAGTGACCTGAAGCGCGAGGGAGACGGAGGTAAATGTAGCAAATCAGTGAGACACGAGAGAAATGTTGAACTCACAAGGAGAATCTCTCCAAAGCCGAAAATATGGTCATCCGTCACAGCCGAGCTGTTGTTGGGTTTGTAGAGAAACAAGGCAACGCCGCTGACGATCAGCAGCACACACAGGTACTTAGCCAGAGGGTATTTCTTTCTCAGTATCGTAACACCGAGAATCATCACTGCAAAAAGAACAAAATGCAACAATTTTACTTGATACATAATCAGGCCTTTAACCTCGAGAGCGAAACATGTGACAAAGATTGTGCTTTGAACGTAAAACAAGAGATAAAGCTACGACAGATGGGATAACTTGGAAAAGGATCTTTGAACTTAAAAAACATTCAATGAATGAAAAAGAATATTTAATACGCGCTTTAACAACCCAAAAGAGACCAGAATCATTCTTGCTTGACCAGGTAGGAGCTCTTTCACTTATTTCACTCATCAAAACAGTAAATTGTGATTCTAAGCAGTTTGTGTTCAGTAACACTGAAAAAGGAGCAACTGAGAAGCTTAAAATTTCAGCTGTTCATTGAAATAAAAGCAAAACAGCTGATTAACTTGTGAACATGACATGAAGGTAAACTGAAACGTTGCGTTATTGGGTTTACCTGGAATTGGCTTGCAGGATTTTCCCAACACCTATTGTAACAAAAACCACAACTTTAGGATATCTGTGCACAAATGCTGATCATATAGACATTCACATCACCTAAAGCAATTAACTGTCCTTTTGATAAATGTCAGAAACCTCACCTGTGTGGGGTAGTTGACATACTGAAGAGCAGAGTTACTGGACACCATGGCTCCGAGATAAGAGAGGGAACACAAGCCGTAGATCCAAGTCTTGGTGTGATCTGGTTTGGAGCCCTCAAAACACTGGATTACTGGTTTAAAAAAAAAAAAAGAAGAAACAATATTTTACAAATCGCAACATGAAGACAATGAAAAGGTGACGCCTACATTAAACTTTGCCAATTTGATTCCAATCTTCGGAACATAATCCGGTTTACTGAAAATGAGCACATACTTACAGATTCTAGCAAAAACAGCATTGATGATGCACTGGATGAAGACCAGTGTTCGTGCAAATGTGAACTTCTCCCCACCATAGTCACCCCGAGTGCTGCAAAGGTCAGACAATGATTACATAAATTAATCCACAGCTACTTTCACCAACATTTAATTAATCTGATATATATAGACAGATAGATAGATCAGTGCTGTTCAAAAACAATATGTAATAAGGAAGATTCACAGCTGAAACCTTTTGAAATCAGATCTATGACCAGAGCCTGGGGACACATACCACCTGTGCTGACAAAAGCTTTAACAGCTGGTAGATTTTATAACGTGCTGTTTTGTTAATAAAACTTTCAAGGACTCATTATTTTAAAACACAGCACATCCTACTTTTAGCTTAACGTTCAACCTCCAGAACAGAAATGTGAACTTATAGAAGTAGTTTCAAAGTTGAGCTACTCACATTGTTTCTTGTAGGATTCCGTAATAGAAGTAACAGACGAAGACTCCAAGAAAGCAAACGATAAACCTCAACTGCATATTGTCCCACAGCGAGGCGGGCTTCCCAGTTCCCTTTCCCGCAGCCATGCTGTCCTCCACCGGCCCGGGTAGGTTCACCGACACCGCTCCGCTCCCGGCTCCCCTCACACCGGCGTCCCGCTCCACTATAGCCGATGTCCCGAGCCTCTTCGGTGCTCACGTTTCCACGCCAAGTTTAGTTCAGTCCACCAGCTGCTTATTGTCGTTACTGGGGGGGGGAACGACTCTGATATTACGAAATGCTAGCTGAAAAGTCGGAGTCTAAAATCGGCAAATATCACAACATTGTTTAATATTTCCAAACGACTGACAAATGTGCACCTTATCCAGTCAAAGCTAGCCAAATCCCAGCGGCGTAAAAACCAATAAGTAGTTAGAGTACGTGTTTTGGTTGAATATTTATGTTTAGAAGCAAAAAAATATATATATATATTGTCCCGGCAGAAAAAAAAAAAACTTCCGTAGAAGGACCCAAGAGTGTTCCTGAATATGCCTGAACGTTTATCTCACTTAATAAGGTGAACTTTAAATCAAAATTGGGGTTTACGACATTATTATTTATTTTCTATTATTATAATACCTAAACGTTACAGGATATTTAAGTTGTTGTTTTTACTAATCGCTTACATATGCAATGTTATGGCTTATTAAAAAGCTGGTGAAGCACAAGGTCCTTCCTTAAAGTTGTCGCGTGCCTTTTTTTCGTCTTGGTATGTGGAGTAAATTCATTGGTCCATGTGTGACATTAAAGAGGCGCAGAGGACCAATCACAAAGCAGACTTTCGAAAAGGGGCGGTTCTTATATTTAAAACCGCGAATCCACGTGTCAAAGCAAGACTGGCGTCAACTGATATAAAAGTTTTATTTATTAAAAAAAAAAAAACAGCTGACTAAATATTTCATGTTGGTAACATTTTAAATCAATGTTGCACTAAACGTTCCAACAAATTTGATATTTTATGCATTTTTAATAAAAACAGACTTGAATACCAACTTGTAATCAGAACTGTTGGGTTTAAATTATGAAAAAAACAAACTATCTGGAGTGACCCACATGAAAAATGTGAAACAGTTTGATTTCTGCTTGTAATGAGCACCCCCAAAAGACTGCCCTTTATGTAAATAACAACAGAAACTCCATACAAAATTACAAAAATAAATATCTTCCTGGTAACATCTGTGTAAAATTTGGGCACCACAAACACCAAAATATTTATTTTTAATTAACAAATTTAAAACGAAATTCAACAAATGTTATGTCTTTAGCCTCTAGCATTAGGCTGAATCTTGATCTAGACTGATCAATTGTTAATGATGACAAACAGAAGTGCTTGTCTTTCTGTCATTAAATTTAGTTTGCTTTGACATCAACACCCCCACACACACATGCTTCATTAAACTAAAACAATTTTCCTTCAAAACGAACCGTATTAAAACTCAGTCATTCCAGCATTTTCAGGCATCTCAGCAATGTAAAACCCTGCAGTCTAACCTATGACTCATAGAGGAACACTGGCACTGAGTAAGAGCTGATGAAGATGAAATGAGTTGAATCAAACCACCCTGAAGACAAATTTAAGTCCACAGAAGTCCTACAGTATGTTGTAGTTTGTTACTCTCACAGGCACACTGTGGCGAGAATACTGTTCATATCAATTTAGCAAAAAAACGTCTAAGTTTTCCAGGTCCTGGCAGTGCACAGTTCTTACATCCATCTACTGCATGCCCAGGTGTCTGGTAGGAGAGGCCTGACCAGAGCAGCCGGTGACGGGAGACACTGACAGGCCCCGGAAGAGGAGATCCATGGAGGGCAGCAGAGGTTTAAGAAGGCTGACAGGGCAGAAAGCAGAGCCTCCATGGGGGGTAAAGTTGACTTTATTTGGATCTGGGCAGGACGGCTGGAGGAGATGCTCTTCCTGACAAGCAGACCTGGAGATAAAGCGACATGAAAAGGTTTTAAAGGTTTACCTAATTATTAAAGTTCCTAAAGCTGCAGCCAATGTTTGATTTAGCAATTTTTTTTTTTTTGAAAAGCAATTAAAGCACTGGTGTACAATTTTGTGTTTACTAAACTAATATCTTTTTTTTTTTTGGTAATTAAAACGTAACAATTCTTTGAAAATAAGATTAAAACGAAATTTTAAAAGGTTTGGATGAAAAATGTAAATAACGACTTGATCTATAAATTAATAAAAGTAGTGTTTTCATACATGTGGGTGAGATTTAATGTTCTAAAGAAAGAAAGTTATTCTCCGAAACACTGAAAACAGAACACAATGCTCATTTTTCTTATAGAAATCGTAGTGAAATAAATAATTGAAACTAACATTATTTTCAATCTTACGCAAGATAAAAAAAATGCCATTTGTTGTTAATTACTCTCAGCTACTAAAACATTATTTTTTAACTCAATATTTGTAAAACTGACTGAATTACAGCCAGTAGCGATCTTAGCCTCTTTTGGGGGGTGCTCAAACACCCCTAAACTTTAAATCAGCACCCATGAATAAAAAATAATCTTTTTTTTTTTAGGCGGTTCTGGGTTTGGGTTTAGGGCTCTGTTTATTGCAACAAAATAAACAAATTTAAAAGATAACATCATTGTAATACTTGATTTATTTACATAATGACTAATTGCTGGATGTCCAGCCCGTGAGCAGTTTCAGTAACTGTGGCCCCCTGAGCAGTTTAGTTGAATTGCCCTGCTTTAGTGTGGAATACAGTTTATTCTATTTCCAAAACTAAACAAAGACTGGAAAAATGTCAAACTTGGATAAAGTCCTGCAGCCGACCTCATGAGCAGCTCAATACAACAGTGATAAACAGGAAGTACCGCATGTTCGTCTGTATGAAGGTAACTGCAGGTAAATCCTCCATTTTCTGTCATAATTACATCGTATGTTTAATGGTTAAATTAAAGGTTAATGCTTAAAGCTAGTTGTACTTTGTTTTGTGTATTTTGTACTAGGTATATCTATGTTGCAACATCTGGTTTAGTATTTGTTTGTTATGATCAGTTAACACTGAACTGATTTTGTACAAAGCATTTATTAGGTTGTGTAATGTAAATCAGAGCTTTACCTTAAGATGTAATGTTGTGTCTGTAGCATCTTAGCTAGCACATCTGTATTGCATGCTGCTAGCTTAGCGCTACTTCTTGTTGTGCCGAGCTCTCTAAATTAGTGTTTACTTATGTAGGTAAACATAGATGTTTAACAACCCAATAAAATACACCAGAATGCAGGAAATGGCATCTACTTTATTAAAATGTTTCTGGGGGAGGACCCCCCACCAGTGTGCCCCCTCACCCCACATTATCAATGCTTCTGATGCCAGTGGTCACCACATTGTTCAAGCCAAGAGCCGTTAGCACTGGGGGCTAAGCACCCCTAAAGGTCAGATTCTAGAATCGCCTCCGATTACAGACATTTCTGTGTTGATACAAGAAATCAAGGTTTTAAATATTTCACTCTGTGTATAATAAATCTATATGTTCTGAAATGACTGATTAAAAAAATGAACTTTTTCATGATAGTCTAATTTCTAGAAGCACCTGAACATCCAATAATTAACTTTTGAACGTTTCACTAAAATCCATCCAGTGGCTTTTGAGAGATTGTGACAAACGGCAAACAGTGTTGACTCCATCAGTTCAAGTTTTAAAAGAAGCTTGTGCGCTGCGCCGTGCACATTTTTAACTAATTAATTACTTACGTGGTTTCCTCGCAGACGCGAATGCGCTCGCAGCCTTCTGGCGGCTCGCGCTGAAAGGAGAAGGTTTTGTTTGGACGGGGTGAAGAGGAGCCGGGCCGCAGCAGGGGGCCTTCCAGAGCAAACGATGGGAGGGATGTTGACGGAGACAGACGCAAAGCGTCACAGTCCACAGGTTCTGCACAGACACATCAGCACCGTCACCACAAACACAGGGACTACAACAAGTCACTGACCACACAGACGTATTAGTGGGAATTTTAGCTTGCAGCTACTGTTTCGCTAATATTAACTTTTACAGCCGTTTCAGGTTCTTCACCGAACTTCAGCAAAGTCATTCGCAGTGAAACGACACAAATAAAAACACGCAGCTGTCTCACCTGGCTCTCCCATGGGACAGGGTGACTGAGAGGGAGACGGGGGCGATGAACCGAGGCGAAGAGGGGAACTCGAAGGAGACACGAGCGACGAGTCAAGAGGACAAGGGGACTGAGACGGAGAGAGGAGGGACGGATCCAAAGGTCCCGGCGAGGGCTTGCTCTGAGAGCCGCTGCTGCATCTCTGAAGGGGGGCGGGAGCCCTGCGGCCATCTGGGATATCCAAAATCTGCCATATTTAGAAGGAAAATATGAGAAAATGTTGCACTAAAAAGGCTTTTTTTATTTAGTGTTTTACCAGTTTGATGAAAAATATTGAAAGAATTTAAAACCAACTTTAAAAAATGGAAAACTTGTGATCATATTCTACAATTTAACTGGAATTACTGGAACTTATGTGAGAAGTTTCTCGTCTTCTCATAAGAACAGAATGTGCATGGATGTATAATGTAATGTGGGGGCTGCGGTGGCTCGGTGGTCAGTGTCGCGGTCTTGTAATCCTGAGGGTTCAAGCCCAGGTTGTGTCAGGAAGGGCATCTTTCGTGCGAGTTTGCTCGATGTGGCAACCCCTGAAGAAGCCGAAAGAATCCTTCGCTCTGGGATCTAACCTCATGCTGATCGTCGGGTTTCTCAGACACAAACACTTCCTCCAGCTCCAAACTGAGGCCCTCAACGCTCCTCCTTAGCCTCGGAGCCAGTCTGTTCAGAGGCATCATGGGTAGTGTCTGCAGGAAAACAAGCAGGGTTAGAAAGGTCTGCCTCCAAACTGTGTGGTTTGGTGATGAAACAGCATCTAATAGAGATTTCAAATGATCTTTCTGAGACAGCAAGGCTGCAACAGAGCCAGGCTCAAAAAATTATATCCTCCCATTTGTTTATAAATATTTATTAAGCCAGACTTTTAGAACGTATTCAAACAATCTTTGTTATATTGATACTTTAGGGCAGGTCTATTCAATTAAATTTCTCAGGGGGGCACGGTTATTGAAAGCCAAGAGCTCAGGGGCCAGACATCCAGCAGTTATTCATTAAGCAAGGTTGATTTATGGTTTAAAATTTAGTTTTATTTAAAAATGGACCAATTAGTGGGCCGAACTGAGATCACTCATGAGCCTGATTTGGCCCCCGGGCCGCCAGTTGAATAGCCCTGCTGTAGGGATTTAAAGGACGTTCAAAGATTTTCTTTAGACTTTGGCTGCTTTATCACCCATATCCAGTCCAGTGCCTTGCCATTTTTATTTATTACTCCATTAAAATCCAAACTATAAATCATTCTGTCATAAAACGGCTCCTAAACGCGAAAGATGAACCACGCTTCATCGACGCCGTTGGCTTTGTTAACGTCTATCGTCCAAAGCTGAGGCCTAAATGTCCAGTTTTTACGTTGCCATGTTGTACTGTAATTTTTGCTGTATAAGTCACTGTTTTTGTATAAATTAGCATGCCTGCAACTTATACAGCAAAGCAACTTATTTATGTATTCCCCCATATTTATAACCCATTTTTTGGCTGAGATCAGATGATTTCATGCATTCTGACATGAACACTACCATTTTCAGCCACTAGAGGGCTCTCAACGTAAACGGCAAGCCAAGTGTCTCATTAATAGGTAAAAGTGGCTATTAATGAGACACTTGGCTTGCCATACAAAGTCAACTTCATCTTGCTCCAGAACTCCTGGATCAAACATCAAATCAGCTGCATTTCGTTGTACCGCCCAGGTGAAATGCAGCTGATTTGACCATTAAAGTGACTTTATTAAGGAAAACTTCAACAGAGACGCACCTTTACTATAATGTCGAGCAAACAAATAATTGTTTTTATGTCTTAGTCGTGTTAAATTCTTGTTCAAGTCCTCCCGTGCATGCTCCCGCAGCTGCCATTTGGCAGCCAATCGATTTTTGGCACAACACCGGCCCACGTTTCCGGGTTGTCAGCGGTGACGCGTAACAAACGCAGTTACGCAGCGGTGATGCATCATACGGTGACTTATACGGTGAAGGGACGTATTTATGTTTTTTTCCTACTTTATTACACATTTGTGGACTGATGCGACGTTTACGGCGGCAAGTACAGTTTTTATGGAGCTGGAGGCTGCCCACCGAGGACGTGGGGATCAATATTAAACTTTGGTCTACACACTCTCCTCCTCGCTAACAGGCTAAGTGTCAATCACAGTGTGACATGACCAGAACTTAAAGTCTTAAATAACTATTTAAAAAAAAACTATTCAAAATGCATATCTGAACAGCAGCAAGGTAAGAACTACATAAATAAAAAACATCACGACCTGAAAAAACAATCTGAAGTGTATTTTTAATTTTTAATCCAGCAAACGTCCGCTTCATTAATTTACATGGAGGGGCGGGACTTGAACTACAACCAGATACCAGGGGGCTCTTCTGCTCTGTGGCTTCAGCTTCCAGCTTCCTGTTGTGTCTCTAGTTATAATATTTCTTGATGGCCATCACCTGCAGCCTGTCAAAAAGACAGGCTGCTATGGTCTTCATTTCTTTTGTTGAATCTATGAAAATTTATATAAACGCCAAAGATTGACAGACAAAAAGTAAGATTTATCATCAATTTCTACAGCGCTATTAGCTGAAAATGTGACATTCAGGAGATGATCAGCTGAAGGACGATGCGTTTCTCTCTCTGGAGAAAGTTTTACACCTGTCAATTATTTTGTCCTCCATTTGTTCACTTTCCTCATCAATTAGTGGCTGTAGAAAACTTTTGCACAGTGTTTTAGCCGACCTGAGTGATGCCTGCTGCGTGGCCTGCTGGCAGAGGGTGGCGGTGGGGGGGCTCGCAGCCTGCACAGGTAGGAGCATTTCGGGATCGTTTTTGCAGCTGGTGCTTCAGCTTGGCCACCTGAGGGCAGCGTGGAGATCAAAATGATTTAGGAGCAGCAACGAAAAAGGTTCAACCATGTCATCTGGACCAGTTTCTATTTAGGAGGAGGTTTCATTCACTCTGAAAAGAAGGTCATAACGTTACCCCCGGGTGCTGTTAAGATTTCATGCTCTCAGCGGGAGAAACTGATCATTTAGTTCTTTTGACCGTAAAAGCAAAGCGCTCACCTCCTTCAGGTGCTCCGCACTGCCCCAAGACGCTGAGCGCTTGTGGCCACCAGCACTTCTCCTTCCACGAGTCTCCTCGGTCCAGGAACTCGGCGTCTATGAAAACATACATCACACATTAGTGAACAAGGAGTCCGCTGTTTTGTCTAACAGATGGATGGAAATGGGCCGATTAGCTTCAGTTTCAAGGGTCAGCAGTCACTTTCTGCTGAGCCAGCAAACTCCTATCAGTGCTGCTTGTACACAGACGCTGAGCCCCACAGCTGTCTCGCACACCTGTCTCACAACAGCTGTAAGACAGGCAACAAGAAACCACCACGAGCTGCAAAACAAACCCACTTTCACGCATAAGAAGGCTCCCAGACCGCACCGTGAGACTGTACTGTGAATAACAACTTCAACAGCTCGCTGCACGCAGGCTAACCTGTTATTCACAAAGTCACAACCCGTGGAGGAAAAACAACCAAACAGACCAAAACATGAGCTTCATTTACTGCGAAGAGGCAGCCGAACACCGAGAGACTGAACTGGTGTTTGCTCAAGAAGATGAAACTGAGGTGTTAAAGCGCAAAGAAGCAGAACACTAGCTAAAAGCTAAAAGAAACAAAACACTAA